CACACACACACACACACGTATCCCACATCCACAGGCCACAGTTGCGTGGCCTGTCTCTCTTTCTTACTCTTTTGAGTATGACTTTTCTCACTCAAAAGAGCTTTGGTATTTTTGACATTTTTGTTGGTGTTTACGTGTTGTTATATATTTGCAGGGTGAGGCAGAGGCGGCGTGATCATGTGACCAAACAGGAACTTACCTCTATGGTCAAGATGAAGTCCATGCCAATCTAATGTGAGACACACGTATACGCAGACATTGTTTCATCTTGAGCATTTTTTAGTTTTGTTTTGAGTTTTGAGTCGGTTTAAAATCTTCTTTTTGCGTTTTGTCTTGTTGCACATGTGTTACGAATATGTTGAGTTCTCACTGATGGCCACACGTGGTTGTGTTCTTAGTTTAGCTTGTTTGGCAGATTTAGACCTCTGGATGGTGAACAGCCTCTGTGGCGAAGCTAATTAAAATCCTTATTAAGTGTCACTTGTTTCAGATTTATAACGCTGCCACAAAATGCCCTCAAATGGGAGCGCAGCCAGTGAGAAGAACATGGCAAAACGCTGCCTTAGTAAGAACTGAAATGGTTCAAAGTGCTGCTATAAACAACACGCAGACAACCCTTCAGATAGCCAGCCAACTTGTGATTATAAGCCTAACATACACACACACGCGCACATAGATTATAACCCTGCATATATGCCTGCGTATCTCTCATCCAGCTCTGTTATTTAAATCAGAGCTTTTAAGGCAGTGCTCAATTACATTATGATTTATTCATGTTTTTAAAGTGGCCTTTATGTCCTCTCTTCTTTTCCCTAACCTCTCTGCTCAACTTACTTTCTGTTCTTCCTCCTCTCCTCTTCTCCCCTCTCTTTGTCTCTCAGGTTGATTTCAAGCATTGTCTCCTCATCAGCCCGTTCTAGGGCTCCTCCCAGGAGTCAGCCCCTGCCTTTACCACTGTAGAATGCTGGCCGTCCGTATTTAACTACACTAACCAGAATGCATCCAGAATCCAGGACAACAGGGACTATACAAGGAACTTTGTGGAGTAGGATAAAGTTACCTAGTGTATAAAAGCTGACTGAAGGGTACGTTTTGCAAGATGTCCCTGGACATATTCAGTGGTCACATCTAACTGCACTGCCCATAATGCAGCAGCAGACTCCGCCTACTGTCGACTGGGACAGGGAAAACAGACCCTACTCTGTTACTTTACGTTCACTTCAGCAACTTCATTGCAGTTCACTCCCTGAAGGAGTGACACTGCGTCTGGACATTTCAACCAATGCTGCTTCAGGTGGACTGACTCCTCAGCCTGTATGGAGAGGAATGACCTTGTTTATTTTTAACTTTTGAGCAACAAGTAAGGAAAGTGCAGCTGCCAAACAGGAGAACATTGGCTTTTCTGGGACAACTCGCCTCTCTTCTCCCACCCAGAGCTCCTCATGTTGTTTTATTTGAATTTTTTTTTTAGATTCATTGTGAGAAGTCTGTTATTACATCGACTGACCGACCGACTCAATGCTGTGAAGGAAGCATAACTTTTGCCAGTCTCTCTGTGTGCGTCTGATGCCAAAGCAGCAACTACGGGCATTATGGTCTCAGCTGAGAGGCAACCTGTACTGGCTCTTGAACTGAGGGATGGGCATGGAGAATAAGGTCCAGGGTGGGCGGGTTGGGTTAGACTTTATTTCCTTTATGCCATGTGATTCTGTGTTGCATGATGTACTTGTTTTGTTGTACATGTGTTTATTTTGCTATACCTCTTTCTATCCATCCATCCACTGTCCCTGAATGTGTGTGAAGGAAAGACACACATGCGGAGAAAGAGAGAGATAAGAAAAGAGATTCTGGCCTTTCACAAACCACCAGCATTAAGACATTACATAGATAGTTAACTCACTAGAGAAGATTAAATATTAGTATTAATTAATATTATTCAGCTGTCCTGTCTAGGCTCCAAAGAAACCCCACTAACTTCCTTCTCAGGTCAGTTTTGATGGTTATGGGATGTCCTTTCTTTAGGTTAAACCTTGATTGTTACCTGAGGGATGACAATTACATTTCATTTCTAAAATCCACACACGACAACCTTTAGAAAGGAACTTTCACCGGGCTGAAAAGCAGTGTTCTGTCGCCCTCTCTGGTTGAAAGTGCTGGGTGTGGTTGGGTGTAGTCAGAAAGTATGCTTTGTTGCACCGGTAACCAGACCCAGCAGTGATGTCACAGGGTCCTGGAGTACACCGTTACATCAGTGGAACGAGGTGAGAAGTTGAACCATTGGAGGTCAGCAAAAGTGAGATTGCCATGGGGTGTTAAGTTACTCCAAAATCAGGATGGCACAGATAGTTGAATAGTATAATAATGTTTTAGGATCTCTTAGCATTTACAGTATAGTGTTTGTTTTGCATTTAAAATGCATGTTTAATATGAAAGTGTCCACTATAGGACTGGAACTAACAACTATATCCATTATCAATTAATGCGTGGATTATTTTATTCTATATCCGAAGACAGAGAAAAATTCCAGGTCAAAATTGAAGGTTTAGGTGACTTCCTCAAATTAGGCCAAGCATATTTAATTTACAATGACATAAAACTGAGCAGCAAATCCTCACATTTGAGAAGCTGTAACTGACAAATATTTGGCACTTGCTTGATAAAAGATGAAACAATTATTTAACTTGAAGACTTGCATGTAAATTGATAGTTTGGGGTTGGCCAGCCCAGTGAATCTCTGAAATAACAAGGCAATAGGAGGCATATTTAACTAGACCCAGAAGGTTATTAGTGTTTGCCAATGTTAGTCAAATGTTCCGGCTATATGTGTTAAATTAGAAATCAGTTGCACAAAAAAGTAATGTTACTGATGAAATGGGAAAAGAGGTTCTAGATTTAAAGGTAGAAATGCATGATAACAAGATGGTTTATTTATATTGGGGGATAAGGTTAGCTAACATAAAAAGATATAAGCACTTTGCTGTCAATGCAAGTAATATGACGAATAATCATCCTAAAAGTCCTTTGGACAACTAGTCTCAGACATTTTGGAAAGAAAGCGCTACTGTGTGTCAGATGGGAATGGAAGTGGATGCAGAAAGTGCTGCAGGTTCACTGACATGGGGTTCTTTTCACATGGTGCCACCATCACCACTTCCTCAGAAAATGGGGACAGAAATGAAATGTTTTGTAGGCAGTTACTATGGCAACAATCAGTAGAATGTCTTCTTGTACACTACATTAAATAACAGAGAAACGGTATGCACCAGTAAGCTTACACTACAGTCAGTTAGAATGAATGCTGAGGAGTTTTGGTGTGCTAGCGATATTTAATGTCTTTTGAGGAAAGCGGTGAAGTTCAGGAGGATAGAAACTGGTGATTGACACAAATCGGTAGCTGTGGACGGCTGCAGCAGAGTGTTGGTGTAGCTGAGCATCGACTGTCTCCATGATCAGCAGACTGTCGGTTTACTGTGACAGCGAGTTTATGTAGCCGAATCTGAGTCAGTTGGTGGGTGCGTACACAAGAGGAGCACAAACACAGCGGATCAACAAGAGTGACCCCCGCTCACCGCCTCGTGTCTCATGTCCCACCGACTCATTGAAAATGAATGATTTCTGGGCGGCCAGTGCTAACCGTATGAAAAGCCCCAAATACCTCTAGTTCAGTATATCTGCTTTAGTTTTGCTTTTTACACCTACAAACGTTGTGTCCTGGCTAATTTTCTACAACAAGTGAGAGGCTCTACTGTTTGAGTGGGCCGCTCGCATTAAATATATATATATATATATTTCTTCCTTTCTTTCTTTCTTCCTTTCTTTCTTTCTTTCTGTTGGTCTGGTGGTTATATTCTGTTGATCCAAAGCTGTGTAGTTATCAACCGATTGATTGACTGACTGTTTAGTTGGTATTAGAAACACAAGGTGCATCCACGTCAAGCTTTTTCCAGTTTGACAACTGTATGTTCTCTCAAGCTAGCTCCACATATTATGCATGAATCCAGTTGAAGCTTTTTTGTATATTATTGTATATCACACACACAAAAAAAATACATTTCATGTATGTCATTATAAGTGATGTTTATATGTAGAGATTTTTTTTCCTTTGGGATAGTTTTGCAGATATGGTTTAACTCTTGTGTTAATTTGTAATATACAAATGAGCAGTTTTACAGTTCATTTGATTCAATTGGAATCTAGGAGCAAATGGTAATATATATTCAGTCAATACTCAGATTATATTGTCATTGAGGTTTGTGTAGAATCAGTTATTCCCGATAGAACTTCAGTGTAAAATCCCAAAAGTGAGTGAAGTGAGATTCCCACAGAAAAGTGTTAGTGATGGAGGATAATCCATGTCTGGAGAACCTTTCCAGCATTTGTGTATTTGTGTCTTTCTACCCAGTTATATGAAGCTGTGTTACTGTACGATTACTGTATGGACAATGTGTTTACTGAATTCATCTTCATCCTACTTGCTTAACTTTCATCATCACTTCATTTCTTTGCAGTCAGAGAACTTTTTTTTTTTTCAACTCTTCCTGTGGCAACATTCACAAAGAGTGAAACTGTTTCATTTTCAAATATTTGACTGAGAACTAATATTTTACTTTCTGTTTGAATTGGAGAGGAATGTGTGTAGCTAGATATCAGATGGGTGTGAGCTAGAAAAAGGATATTGGAACTTTTAGAGCTTGTGTAAGCTAAAACAAATTGCATGCAGCAAAATGTTCTGTTAACAAAACAGTCGAAATTACACCTGTTACTCATTCTATTTAACTGGATTTGAAAGTTGTTACCTGTAATGGATGGGCCAGTAATGAATGAATGTAAAGATGTGGTTTTTTTTTAATCATAATTGTACCTTCAAATATTAAGTCACAGATCATTTCTTTCAATGCTCGTCCGCTTCATGAAGTGACTTTAAACAAGATAATGAACCGGCTATCTGCTCACTCACTGTAAATACTACACAAATAATGGTAGTCATTTACAAATAACGTACTATAACTCACGTGGAGAGACATTTTGTCATGAAGGCTGGGTTTCACAGGCAACAAAGTTCATATTTTTCTGATCCAAACAGCAAAATAAAAGTTCATTTTTGTAATTTATTTTTCAAAGACATTGCTAGTTCACATTTTCTAAACCATGAGACTGAGTTAATGTGGGCCTTGTGCAGTGTCAGTGACTGTTTTCCATCCTGTATTTGAGGTTCAAAGTGATCTGTTGTTTTTCTGTGTAGTGTGTAACTATCAATTGCCACCGTTCTCTTTCACTCTGTGGTGTTTCCTGTTTTTGTGGACACGCTTGTGGTATTCTCAGTCTTTCTATGTTCCTCTGCAGTATGTGATGGCAGATGGAGCCTGTTGTTTTTAGTTCTTATAACTCCAATTACACTCAGGCATCCATTCTCAGATGTATATAGTCCTTTTTTTATTTTGCTTAATGTGTACGACAGATATCACCATAAGCTGTTTTTGTTTCTTCCTGTCCTTGTATGTCTGTGAAATAAATACTATTTTATCACACTTTCTATCTCCTCATGGTTCACAAAGCTTTTCTTCCACATCTTCAGTTCTTCTACTAAAACCAAACCTGTTCCTTCTCCGTCTATTGGTTGCTTAAAGCGTCTGACAATTTAGTCTGTGGTTGGTTGTAACGTTGCTGATAAATGCCAACTATCTAACATTTCAAAAACGGTACAAATGAGCCAGTAGTGGAGAGGGTCGGCTGTCTCTTTCTCTCGCCGTTGGTATTGTCTGCATGTGATCGACCAAAAATTGACCAAATTTCCCCTAAAGCCTGTTGCTTCCTGAGTCTATTTTAGGAAGTTTCCATTATCTGTTTTGTGACTGTGTCTTATGATTCCCAATTGCTCAAGCCTGCTTTTGTTGTCTTGTGAAAGGGTCTTTTAAGATGTACAATTGGAGGGACATTCTGCAAACGTGTCGTCATGCAGGCCATACCAGTCCAAGTTTCTAAATTACAGGAAAATATTCTTAATTGTTCTCCTGGTTGTCATTGATGTGAGGTGGATCGCTTTGATGTCTTTGTAGATGAGGAAAACCTAAAGGATTCTTTTGCTGTTTTTCTTAATAACCAGTCCAGCGGTGTACAAAGTAAGTTTTAAGCCTGAGAACAATGGAGGAGAATGTGAAAAGGGTCCGTATTCAGTGGAATTCCTGCTGTGTTCAGGATATTCCAAGTTGGCGGCATCAGCTCAACACAATGCCTCTGAGAGACCCAAGACCAGCACACAGCAGCTGAACGACAGTACGGTAGCTGATAAGGATATGTAACGTTTAACAAGCAATTACAGGATAAGTACCCCCGATTTCCATATCAATTTCTTCAGGAATCAATTAAGATTAAGTCAGTTTAAGATGTCATCATAACGCGAGTGTAACGAGGCAAAAATAAATAAATAAATAAATATATATTAATTATGAAGGTAAGTGGAACAGGATGTGGTATTTATTTTTTCCACTTGAACCCACCCCTACCTCTACCACTGACCCTGACCCGCCCTACTCTCTCGGGGCATGACTTTGCCACAATGGGGGGAAAATCATTGGCAAACGCTAAGGTATGCAAGCCTGATTGTAAATGTGCAGCGGGTTTGTTATTGTCTTCATGAAATTCAGCCCTACACAACTCCTCATTGTCGCTAAAATCTCAAGTTAAATCCTGATGAGAATTGCTGTAAAGTTTCTGCATGGTGCTGGATGGTTTTCCTGTAGCTCCAGAGAACCACTGATCTCAAGGAAAGCACAGCCCCCGCTACTCAATATGCCTTTTCCCTCTGATAATACTGTAATATTTGGTGAGAAGAAGAAAGGGGCCAGATGTCAAAATAAATGTGTTTGTGCTTAGGATGCTGTCAGTGTAGAAATTAGCATCTCTGCCTTTTCTACAGTGGATTCTTTGTACTGACATTAAGCAACAGGGCAGATTGCCTAATGTCAGTTTATGAGTCATTCTTTTTCTGTTATTTATCTAATCGCTCCCTGCCCTTCTTCTTGATACAGTATACTGCAGTTTACCGGAGCAAATATACAGCATGTACTGATGGACCAATACTGAATATATACACAGGATATATTTTATTGAGATAAAAAGAACACTACAGTAAAACTATCTCAATACTATCTATACTTTCTTACTATTAAAACCAAAACTGCCATAAAAACATATTCAACAAATAATGCAAAACAGAATTGAAACTAAAATGTGCAAAATTCAACATAATATTGCATTAATGAAGGTCACATTGTAAACATAAGCAGCAGTAAAAGAAGTTTCACTGAAAATGACAACTAAAATGGGACGGCAGCCACTGTGTTACCTTCTCTTTCAGTGAAGTAGGTGTTAAGTGGGTGTAGTACAGTGTTTCCAGTCCTTTCTTCGTACCATACAAGAAATACAAGGGAAATATTTCCTAAATAATTATAACACATATGATTGTGCAATAGTAAAGAAAATGCACCCAAACAAATAAAAATCTATACTTAAATACAAATGTACCAGGACTTTTCCCCCTATGGCTCACTGTGCAATTGTCAAACTTTAGGAGCTGATTAATAAGAATCCTATAGCTCGCTGCAGCAACCTAGTGGACGACAAGCATCACTACAACCTTCATCACCAGCGGCTTCACAAGTAGAAAATACAAACAATTCAAATATTTGTTGAGAAAATTGTGATTAAACCCAAATCTGCCCCAGCTCCAAAAGACTGACATCAGAGTGTTACCATCCCTTTAAACTTAAACCATGTCAATTACATTCAAATAACAATAAGTTCCTAAAACCTATTACACCCACTATCCACTCTATTACAACATATTATTATGCATTGTTTCAAATATATAATAAACAATACTGTTATGGAATGAATGGGAGTGTGAAGACTTCCTCCTTCCTGCCTCCAACTGTTCAGTGTCTCAGTGGATGATTATATTCAGGTGTGATAAATACTTATAATAAACAGTCCATGTCCTTCTGCAAGTCATGGTTTCACCACTGAGAGAGCGACTGGACTGCACTGCATCACTCATCTCATTACAGTAACATGAAAAAAAAAAAAGTAGTTGAACAATTACCAGCAAGTTAATGCAACAATTACATTTTTTCCCATTTTATATTTCCGGAAATATCAACAGGTAATGTGAAGATATTGCTGGCAATGGACACACTGGAACAAAACATTCCCTTCAATGTTTAAAACTTAAATATCCAGCATTTTTCCAGTTCCCAGTGTCACCTGGGACACCATACACCTACGACTGACTATGTTTACATGCACACTAGTTTACACTCTTATTCCAAATGTGACAATATTCTGCATTTGGGTATTTCTGATTAGGCCTTATTCCAAATGTATTTTCGGAGTAAGACATGTGGGATATGACCTCATTATTCAGGTTTTAGGAAAATGCTTTGGACATGTATACAGTGCACTCAGAATATGCCAGTTTGCACTGTTTACAGTCCGCTCTGTGTAAACATAACAACTAACCAACAGTTTGAAAGGCTGGAGTAGAGATGCGTGCACAAAGGAAAAGCCCACATCTGTGGTCGGAAGGAGAAACACACCTGCTTTTAAACATTATGAAAGACTGGGATATCAACAAGATGGCTGAAATGAGCAAATGTTGAGTGAAAGAGTGAAAGAATGAAAGAGGGAGGCAAATACTGGAATATTTTGTCCATGTAAACATAGTCAGTGTCCATAGAATTAACATCATCTGCCATTTTCTCAGTTTCTTTCTTAAACTACAAAGAAAAATCTGTAAATGTGAATAACACTCGTATGTGGACTGTAAAAATAAAAGCAGTTCATTTTTACTGTACAACAGCAGCCTGAAAAACCTCCCAGGTTGATTCATGCACACAGTAGAAGAGCCTTTTCACCTTTTTACAACCAACTGAAGGTACTTTGATTACACGGACAACTGAGCAACATTTAATACTTCCACCAGGCTTTACTGGAGGCACAATGGTGCCACTGTTTTAGGAATAATGAATGCGTTTTAATGTGTTTCAGCTAAATCCAACAATACCAATGCTGCGTCAACAGCAAGCAAGAAATTCCACCAGGTTACACAGCCACAACATCCTGTTCCATAACCTTGGCTGACATGGCTGGCACTGAAAACTGCCTTCTATAGGAACGTTATCTTTGACTGGACAGAAAGGCTCAGCCAAGCAGCAAAATGAGAGTGCTGAAGTGGCAGAAAGCTGACGGATGGGGAAGATATCTTTTCTGTTAGTTTAGTGGTAACTAATAGTGGATCTGTCACTGGAATGTGACTTAAACTCACTCTACAATGAACATGTAATACACTAAATGTCACTATGGCAGATGGAGCGATTTGAAAAGCACAGCAGAATAAAAGTGGTACCACACTGAGGGTGACAATGCGTCATACAGCCTGCGGTTGACCTTTGGTTGACTTTTCCTTGAGTGTTCTTAGGATGAGGACAGACAGTGATAGTTCAGGGAGGTCAGCTCTCGGGTCTCTTTATCAGGGTTTGGGTAGATGAACACAGAGCAGGCGAGCCTCTGCAAAACCATGTGTCAAAGCTTTAAAAGGGTCACTCCCTAAACACGAAGACAGTTATTAGGAAAAGAATCACTCTCCAGATAAGAGAACAGGATTCTGAAGCACTTCCAGAAGACCGGAAGAAGGATTGGCACATCCCTTTTTGAAAAGCTAACTTGTTATTGTACAGGATGTCTCCATCCACGGCAGCCCAAGTTTAAATCCTACATGTTTTCCTTTATCATATAAGAAGTGACCTCACCCTTCGTAGCCAACCCTTCTCTTCACCTAAACTGACAAAAAGCTCCACACTGCTCTAGTGCCACAATGATTCCTCCGGTAATTTCAAGTATCTAAAAGTGGATTCAAACAGCTAACAGCGTTGCTTCCAGACCGGAGCCGCGTTAGGCGCCGTCGGTAAGTCAGTGACGTCTAAACATCGATGGCCACGCCGTGTTTGGTGGAGATCACGTCCCTCGTTCCCGTCAGATACATGAGCACTGAACACAGGTGAGGGAGTGTCGCCGTGGTGCTGACGTACAGCCAGTAGGGGAGCGGTGCCGTGTTGCCGAACGGACACACCCACAGGCCGTGGCGCACCGCGTCCCGGACGTGGTGCGTCGCCATGGAAATGAAGAGCATCCACGGCAAGGAGCACCAGGCATCTTTGAGGCGTCCGATCCACATGAGGAAGCGGAGGGAGAGGCACAGGATGGGGATGAGAGAGGAGCAGTGTAGAGGAGGACGCTGGGGGAGGGAGACAGCAGCCTGGAAGGGAAGGCAGAGTTACTACCAGTACATAAACCATTTCACAAGATTACTGTGTCATTTCTCACTACTGATAAGCACTTAATGCTCACCAGGCGGTGAACGACACACCGTCTAACCAGTTTATACTAGTGAGTATAAATGTCTGTAGCCGCCCTTCATCTGCAGCTTGTACAGCTTCAGTTCTCTATTCACACATCAGTTTTGTTGGAAAGTTGGGGGGAAAAAAAACACTTTTTGCTGCGACCCTTGTTCAGATTTTCTTTGATATGTAACAAAAGTGGCCCAAAGGTCGATTAACATATGTCAAAAAAAGCACAGTACGAAACGGTGGTCCAAATCTGAGAGACATGACAGGAACGTAGCTTTTGACTGAAGAGAGAAACTGGCTGAACTAACACATCCTCCAAAAAACTGGAGAGCGCTCAACTGATACCGGATGTTTGATTTCAGAACCCACCGACACTCTGATGTTTGTTATCCTTGAGAAGCTGCTTCCAGAAATGAACCATATCTTTCACAAAGCCACACAAACGAACGAACCGATTAAAGGATGATGTTTGTTCAGTTTCGGGTACGTGCCTGTGCTGAACCGTCTGAGTGTCTGCGTGAGGGAGGACCATTAGGCAACTGCCAGCGAACTCTGATAAAGGGCACACGCTGAGTGTCTCTCTGCTCGCTGCAGACGTGGACTGTGGAAGACTCAGCAGGATTACAGAGCACAGAGTCATGATCCTTTTGATTTCCATGTTTAATCTGCTTCACCCTCGCACACAAACCTGCCCACACAAACACCCGTTCATCTTCTCCTCCTCGCTCGTTCTCCGCAATCAGTATGAATTAGTCATCCGCTGTTTGCAAACGCGTGCTCACTACATTTCTGGACGTATTAAATATACGAGCGCGCCCTCAGGGAGGGTGCAGGCCTCACCTTCAGTGACAGGGACCCAGCCATGTAGAAGTGGTCCAGGTCTATGATTGACGCCAGCAGCCCGGCCAGCAGCACCTCATACACATCGCTCTTCTTCCTCAGTCCGATGACGACTGCCCACGACCACAGCCCCACCAATCCATGCGTGGCGTTGTCCAAGGCGGCGCGCAGCCACAGGTGGTTCTGGATGACCGACAGCTGGAGGGCGTGGTCCGCCACCACGCAGAACATCCCGAGCCCCGCCGACGCCAGCAGAGAGGCGGAGCTGAATGTCTGGAGGAGGGCCTGAGCTTTCTCCGTCTCCACGGCCAGGCTGAGGGGGACGGGGGCGCCTTCTCGCCCAACGCCGCCCCCCAGCAGCGGGGACGAGGAGGGGGACGAGTCGAGCTTGGAGTAGAATCCTTGCATGTTGACAGACAGGCTGCGGGGGCCAATCGCCACTGAAGGTCAGCAGGAGTCAGGTAGACTGGAGAGGGAAGGGAGGAGAGGGGTGGAGGAGAAGGTGACGTCACAGTGCGTCCCACTCAAACTGTCGTTTTAAGAAAGAAAGGATTGTTTTGTTATCACTCAATAAATATCTGCCTTGGCCACAGTGCATCAGGAACAGAGCAGTGTGTGCATTTGTTTCGATAACTGCTCCATAAGCTGGCAGACAGCGCCCTCCACAGTCATACAATCACAATCACACACACTCTTTACACTGTTCTACTGTCCACGTGCTCTCTCAGATCAGAAACTAGACACAGAAAGACAGCAGAAGACACCTGGCCTGCATGTGTCCACAGAGAGACAGTACTGCTGCACGAACAGTGGAGACAAAGAGCAGGAGACAACCTTCCTGCAGCTCCTCGGCCCTCGGACACACACAGCGTGTTCACCGCCGGAGGGACAATACAAACAGGTCTGTCTCTCCTGCAACTGAGATACATGTAGGACAGACTCAGCTGGCGGTCTCTCTCCCTCACTCTCCCTCAGTGTCTCTCTCTTCATGTCATCTTCCCTCAGTGGTCTCCCTCCTAAGTCTCTCTCAAATCAACACAGTGTCTCTCTCTCCCTCAGTGTCATTTCCTCAGTGTGTCTCTCCCTTCTCCCCCTCAGTCGTCTCAACTTCCTCAGTGTCTCTCTCCCTCCCTCCAGTGTCTCTCCAGTGTGTCTCTTCCCTTCTCCTCCCCCCTCAAGTGTCTCTCTTCCCTCAGCTGTTCTCTCTCCTCTCATTCCTCTTTCAGTGTCTCTCTCTCCTCTCTCCCCTCAAGTGTCGTCTCTCCGCTCTCTCCTTCAAGGTCTCTCCTCCCTCATCTCTCCCACCACGGCTGCTGCCTGTAACGCCCTTTAACCTCTTTTACATTGGAACAAATAAAAGGAAACATCGTTCTGCTCTTCGAGCTATGAAATATTAAATTTAATAATGTGTGTCACTGCCCTGGCAGCCTCCGGCTTACGTGCGTGTAACACGTCAGCAAGGCTACACCTAATGTTCATTTCTACTCGCGCTGACTGAGCCCCTGGGGCCCCTTTTAGGACCGGCAGACAGGCACATGACAATCCTTCCTCATGTACAGTACGTTACTAAACAGGAGGGAGCAGCATCACCGCCAGCTCAGGAACAGCAGCCTCATGTGATAAAGGGACACAAGATGTACCAACATATAGATAACATTAGCTATCCATAGAGAACAGAAATAACAAACTGCACGCTCCGCCTTGCCATCTAAAGAGAGTCCATTTTAAACTGTACAATCTACATTCAACGCTGTCCTCTAATGTCCTCATTCTTGATCACCACTGGCGGACTCACAGTAATGAAACACCTCCACCCCATGTTCCTTCTTAGTTGCCGTCGCCACAGCGGTCAGCTACTTCTTCTGGTGTGAGTTGTGGGCCGTGGATTGGACATTCGTCTGCGCCTACTCTCTGCTGCTGCCCCGCCAAGGTCAGAGCGGGACCACGCCATATCTCACCCAAAGGACGCTCCTTCGTGTACAAGCTGGGTTCTGGTTCTTTGCCTTCTCAGAGACATCTCAGGTAAACAGTTTTATTTCCTAATCCAGTTTAAAAAAAGGACTTCAGCACGACTTCCATTTGAACACAAAAATCAGCCGTAAATAATTCCAACATGGCTTAATGACCACAATTCTTAAAACAATCACACTAACTTCAGTATTATTAAGAATCCAACCATTGACGTCGTCCAAATCTATTGTGTAATTGGTCTGCTTTCACTTTTTTTCTTCTTTATGTTAAAATGTCATTTCAGTAAATGCCAGAGGTCGGATGTAAGAGCCTCATTCTGTGGTCTGAGAGACTCCACCATAAACACACTAAAGTTCTGGATTGAAATGTGCCAGTGTGCGCTTTTTCCAACTCAATCCACCTTACATAAACATTTAACTCAACTGCTATGGGCGTTCATGCCCATGCCGCTTAGGAATTAGGTCCCAACATCGACTAGTGTCCAATAACTTCGGAAGAGACTCTCTTCTAAATGCAACATTCAATCACATAGGTCTCCACGTGGCGTTGCTGTTTTAAGGCACTCCAGCTCCTTGAATCTTTTGCGAGCGCGTGCCCAAAATAAAGAGGGCGTAGGGCTGACAGACCAAATGAGACGGTAAGCAACAGTGGTTTAAAGATCTCCCAATCGTTAACCCACGGCGCCTGACTGTGTCTCGGAGAATGGTCTCAACCTACTCAATCTTACACAGGATCCCGGACCTGTAAGCTGAGTGACAAACAAACAGAAAGGACAGCTTCCTCCTAATCTGTATTCTTACCTAATGGGTCCGGAAGACAAACTTCAGCGCAACGCGTCCTTTTGACCGCAAGCACGATCTTACTGAAGATCAGCAGCTCTAACTGTTAACGCTGCAGTTTCTCCTGATGACCAACTAGCAGGGCCGCAAACCCAATACGCCTCCACAGAATGAGAAACAAATACTGGCGTGCCACAAAAACACTTGGTAACTAACTACATGCCTGTAAAAAATTAATAAAACATAGCAGTGACTTTCTGGTTAATGCTGACACTCGTTACAGCATCTCAAAGGTATCAACACTGCACCCACACCACACTCCTCAACCATGATGTTTCAGGCAAAGTGTCTTTAGACTCACACAATAACTGATAAATGAAAGCAATAACTTAAAACAATATCGCCATCGTTGCATAAATGTCACTTTTGGTTCGCTAAAAGAAACTTTAATGAATGGCGACACGCCAGACTACATTCCTAATGTTTAACACTACACTGCCGCCATAAATTGCCTTCACTATCTTCACGCACTCCAGGAAAACCTGCCACGAGGGCCACGCGCTCTTTCCAAACCTCACGAGTCGCTGCACACTTCTCACATCTCGGACACGCTACTGCACACCCATAAACATAACACACTTCACACACCAAAAATCAATTTGATACTCTCTATCCACACCACGCACACACCACATAAATCAGATAAAAGGCAAGACAATTGACACCTTATAATAGAGGACTGTATCTATTCAATATAGACCTGGATATAAACCAAAAGCCTCAGTAGTACCACAGATCATTTATGCAATATACATATCAAAACGATAGTAATATGCTCATTTCCTTGGATTAGAGGATTATATGCAAGCGTGCGGTTACCCTTATAGTCCACAGGGTCAATATAGTAATTTATATTTAGATATGATTAGGCATAAGGAGAGAATCACAAGATCAAATGCTCACAGATTCAATGTTTATGATTCACAAAGAGAATGTTATGATCATTTATAGGAGGAAGGGATAAGCAAAGACACAGCACTATATTTAGAAAGCAGAGTCATTAGGTAAAGAAGAGAAAATAGAATAGTCTGTCTGTTATTATTTGCTTCGCGAAAGAAATATATCTGATATAAGGCCTCACAACTTCTATTGAAGAGAAAAAAGAATCATCAATCTGAATCCAAACTATAGTAGTACATGAAATTGAATACAATATATCTACGTGCTATCAGATAGATAACAGAATAAGAAAATAAAGCGATGTCTGGCCGCTTGTAGCAATAGCAGCATGACCTATCTATTTATATTATATGACACACATAATATAACCAGTACTCCAATAGACGTCAGTGCAGGCGAGTGGGTGTTGTGTTGTGTTAAAAGTATTGTGGGTACAGTCCTGTAACACTACGTTGCAATTAGGAGAGGACAAACAACAGATCAAAAAACAAGACTAAAACACCACCACAAGTTACTACACTTATTTTTTTATGACACTGTACCATATCCAGTCATACATGTGAATTAAACAAGAGTATATGATATACAGACTATATAAACACTCTATCTCATTAAAAACAATTACATCAGACAACAGAAAAGAAAATCCTACCTTATTTGCCTTTTCATACTACGAAAAAAGATACCGCTAATGTTGATTAAGAAATGGTGAAAAGGCACAATAATGGGAACTGGACAGAGAATACTCACATGATAGAGCACTTATTGGAAGCACAACGAGACTGGCATTATGAACTGTTTCAGCACCATAGACAAAAGAGAAACAACGTGAAGGATGGTTGACCATGCTGCCCTCTAAGTGCCAAATATTATATATACAATATGAATCATAAACATAGTGAAAGATCTACAAAGATCATTGAACAAAAAGTTTACATTTGGCAGCTAAAAATATAAACAAAGAGTATGATATTAGAATGAATATTTACAAAAAAGTAATATAACAGAGATATACTATGAATAGTAATAATAGAGAGAATAATAATAAAATGATCTTAATATCTTAACTTCAACAACCACACGAGAGAGGAGAGATAAAACATCCCATCAAAACTCGTCAAATGTTACAAGATAACTCTGTAAACGTATCTGTAGAAAGCACCCAAAACGAAAAAACCCTCTTGCTTTTTAATTCATTCTCAACATTTACTGCAAAATGAACAACATTGTTAACATTAACAATAATTTATAGAGAATAAAACACACACCACACCACAGAATAATATATGAATATTGGCACTAGAGGCAGCAGACCACTACTTCCATGACGCATATTAAGATGAGAAACATTAAATGCAAGCTCCCTGCTGTCATGAACCTACCAAGATCCAAACAATCATAGGCAAACAGTCCGTTCATTAAGGAGTGACACTACTATGTAAATCACCGATTTAATTACAACAAATATTTAATAATACGAATAGTAAGGAAGGTGATATCAAAACAGACATCAATAAATATATAGGAATTATAAGAAGAGATTTGAGTAACAATAGAGACTGCTAATACCAATACTCAAAACACCTGATCATCACGGACAAATAGATGTGACATGAGGACCAGGTGCAATATAAAAAAAAAGAGATTATTTGTAGCGAACTGAAAGTCTTGCTTGAATCCTGATGATGGTCCCCTCTCAACATCAACTTGAACACAGAGACAGTTACCACAAAGCTTTAAACACAACCACACACAACTCGCCTGCACTGAGTCTAATGGGAGTACTGAATCAATAAGTAAGTGCACCATGATTTTTGTAAAAAAAAAACAAACAAAA